AATAAATAAAAAATTATACAAAAAAGTCTTGCAATTTCTTGTGTAGCAATTTTCAGGCAACTTGTATGATTCTCATCAGGTTCGTTGTGGAAACTGAGGTCTTGTCCTTGTTAAGTGTGCATGTGGTGGTTTTAGAAACCTGTTATCATGTCATATTTATTTTTTGTGTGCAGAGAAGTAGTCTTGGGCCTCATTGTGTAATATTCTGTGGTTTACACAGTATTGTTTTACACAGGCTAACAATCATACACAGAAATAAACAGAGCACATATTCACTGACATTGAAAAAACTAATCTAGATCGTATAATCAACCTCATCATTCATTTATTTTCAAAATGGTTTCTTTATTTGCTTCACCTCCACAAACTTTACATGTCTGGCACTTGTGTAAAATCAATGTAAAAGGAAGATGTGGTCATTTTTCTTACTAAACCTCAAAAAGATCTGATCCATAATCTTCTTGTTTTTTGCAAATTTTGGCATCAGCATTTTGTAAAACCCCAATTCATTTTTATTTCGGTTGCAGTGGATTCAATGCAACACGAAGCTAGGGTAAAATTGTCTGTAAATCAGATGCACCAGCCTCAGTTAGACAGCAAAGAGCTACACAAGATAAAGAGCTTCTGAAATGAAGACGTCCTCAACAAATGATGAGCAGGAACAAGTCCCTGAAAATAAAATGAATCAATAACACATAAATAAAAAAGTTGCATGACCTTACCGAGCAGTGAGACTGTGGGACGTCCTGCTGCTGCAGCCTGAACGGGCGGACTAACATCAACTCCTCACAGCAGGGACAGGTGCCTCACTATTCACTGGGATCACACCAAACCCACATGGGTTTAACCCTCACCTCTCCAGCACACATCATGTCAACGAACACATCACTTCCCATCTGCTTTACATGGAAGAGCAGCCAACATTTAAATTCAATAAGAACTTTAAACCTCAACATCCAAGAAAATGTCAAATTAAAGGAGCCAAAAATGTTCATGTAAACTGTTGGCCGACAAATTAAGAAAGTTTCAGATGTCTACGAATATGTTGAGTTTGTGCTGAAAATGAAAATCAGGGGCTGACTGGTTGAGTAAGGGCATATTGCAAAAATCCAAAGTAAAGAAGAAAAAGCAATCGTTTTAAATTTTATATTGGATCTATTGAAAATAAAGTATGTTATGGACTGATAGCAATTAAATGGAAACTTAAATATGTCAGATAAACGACTTCTCTTATCTTTTTTTTCCAAGTAAAGGACAAGGAATAGGCACTTGAGCTAAATTATTTCGTTAGCTTACTTCTTTGAGAGCTAGTTTAGCTCTTATATATATAAATAAATGTTGGAGTTGGGCAGTTTGGGATTTTCACACATTTTAAACGACCTCCTCAGAAATATTGACTGTTCAGACCAAACACAAGGAAATGCTTCTTCCCCCGAGTCTAATAAATGTTCGATGACTCTGAACGAACAACACACATCGGTTCATCATGGTCATTGATAAACAAACCTGGTTCTATGGTTTGAACGTTGTCATAGAGATGATCACGACGTCTTTCAGCTGCAGCTGTGCGCGCTCCCGCCAAGTGCATGCGGTCCTCGACGGGCATGCGGGGCTCGGCACAACACCAGAAGAAGAGTTAAACCAGAGATGAACACAGGCTACCTACCAGGGGTGTCACGGTAAAGTTAGTGTCCACTAAAGCTAACCAGAAGCCTGGTGAGCTAACTGTCGCATCTGTGCTCTGCATGCAGCAGCACGGTTTCTGTGTAGCGGTGGTGTTTTCTCTACAACCACAGAATGGCCTGAAGGGACGTCAATGATTCATCACTGAGTCCAGCTGCTTCTTTCTGGTAGTTTACAGTAGTTTGATTGTGTAAAGAAACTCCGCCACAGACACATCCACTGACGCGGACAGACATTACTGTGGCTCCAGGGCTCACTGCAGTTCCACGGCTCACCGCTGGTTTGTAAGACAAAGGGTTTGTGTGGCGCTGTTTCGCGCTCCGCCCACATGAATACTCAACATTCAGCGTAGAAGAATTCAGGAGTAAAGTTTAGCAGGTGAGTCTGTGTTCGGACCGTACACTGTAAACCTACAGTCTGTGCTGGAAACACAGAGGTCGGTCTGTGAAACTACTTTTCCATCAGCCTTAATATCACATTTAACTGACCGTGTCTGTGATGTCCCATGTGACAGTTTCTGTGATGTCACATGTGACAGTGTCTGTGATGTCCCATGTGACAGTTTCTGTGATGTCACATGTAACAGTGTCTGTG